ACAATGCATATACACACACTCATGCAGAAAGAATAAGGCAGGTGTGATCAATTCTAATGGGGAATCTAAGAGTCTAGGTGAAGAGCTTCTGAGAGTCCATTGTGCTTTTCTTGCAACTTTTCTCGGAAAAGGAGGAAACTCAGACCAGGGAGGACAAGCAAATTGCAAAAGGGTGAGGAGGATCTGCACTGAGCATCAGAGACTAGCCCTTATTTGACACCAGACAAGCTGTATGTCATCTCGCCCCTCTGCCTGACAGCAGGGTCCACTTCCTGGTGGCAGCTGGCATTGTTTGTGTCTGTCCCCATCATCCATGTCACCTTGGACCTTCCACCTTGTTCATAATGTTAAGCTGCTGGTAGCTTCCCAAACTGGACGCTATTTCCCAATTTCAAGCTTTTGCTCTTGCTGTCCTGTGTCTCAGAAACAGTTGTTCCCTAAACCCTTCTTAATCTAGAGAAACATCGCCCATCCTGAGTCCCACATTAGCCATCGGCTCTTTGTAACCCATCCTGAGTCTGTTTAGGCTGATGATGCTCTGAGGCATTTCGTAGCTTCAGAGCCTGTATTTCTGACTGGCACCTGTTGCCTCATATTGAAATTCACTCTGTGTGCTGTGAAGAATGTTTTATTTCTCTCTGCTTCCTCAGTATTAGATTAGAGCAGGTCATAGATTAGGTTACCTGGCAGGTGGTAGACTCAAAACAAATGTCTTTGGAAGGTTCCATCCCTTGGTGTTTAGTAATGTGTTCACTCACTTTTTTTTTTTTTACATTTTTTAACTGACCACTAGCAGAGAGTGGGTAGACTTCATATTTTTGTCCCTAAATTCAAGAGAGAGTAACCCAGTCCAGAGACTATAGCAGTGAGAAGTGCTGGCTGAGAGAGGCATCCTATTGTACAGGTGTGCCCACCCTCACCCCAAAGGAGAGTTCTAGGACAATACAGGGAGTTCCAGACTTGCTGCCATCCAATCACCTGCCTGCTCAGTACTGTTCTCCTCTCCTCTCCCCCAAATTCTTCACCTGTCTTGATATTGTTTTAGGATCAGTAATGAGAAAGCAGATGTTAAATAATGTTTCATTTAAAAAAAATCATTGTGGTGATTTTCACTGAATTCTGGACACCCCTCCACCCCATCAATGACCCCAAAATTCAACCCATGGCTTTGTGTAGATCAGGGGCATAGTGAACACCCGTTAGTATACCTTCTCCTTCTCCCCTTCCTTAGGTCCTGGTGGTCCCCACATGGTGACTTGGTGATCCCAATTTCTGTTGTTTAGTGAGAGCAGAAGAGGGGGTTCCAGCTGTCATCCTTGCCAGAGCAGTGAAGGACGGATGGGAGATGAGCTGATGGTGTGACACATAGGAGTCAGCACAATGTCCCCCCAGAGATGGTCATGCCTTATGGCTCAGTGTGTGAAGCCATGCTGAAATCCACTTGATGAGAAAAATCAGCTTTTGTGGGTGGCTTCAGAACACAAACACTCGCTGTAGCCTGACCCTGACAACAGTCTGGAACTGGAGTCAATGGGACCCACATCAGAGGTGCTGTCTTCCTTCCCTCCCGAGTAGAGACATCATCAGGGGAGTTTCTAAAGCAGTGAAGGTTTGACTGAGTTAGGGTTGGGCTGGGACACAACTTCCCTGCAACTCTAAGTGAACTTGATCCACTTGAGGTAAATCTCTTGGCATCATCATGACAATATTCATGTATAGATATACCAAAAGGTAAAATGGCTGCATTTGGAATGTGTTCAAACAGACATACCTTAACCTATTAAAGTGGAAGATCATGAATTGCTTTTAATTTAAAGAAATAGAACCTGGCTTTCATCAGCGACTAGAGAATCAAATATTTAATGCGGTATCATTTCTAAGGCATCTTTCCACTTGGAGGCTGTGATAAAATTCCTTGCAGCTCACCACATGCTGAAATTTAGCCATTGCATCTGGAAACCAATCGTTTTCGGGCATCGTGATAGACGACGTGGCAGGTTACCATTATGTGCCTCTCCTACTTCTTGCTATAATAACGGATTCAACTCTTCAGTTTCACTTTTCTTCTTGCCTTGATCACAGCGGTTATTTTGCAAGAACAAAGCTTTTTGAAAAATAGAAGAATGCAGCTGGCCTCAAGACTAATTCACAACATTTGCCCATCTGGGATCGTATCCTGGATGGCTTGAAGTAGATGCTCCTAAGAGCACAAAGGGACTGCAGCTCATTTAACCTCGCTATCTTTCTAACGTTGTTTGGGGAAATAGCTCAAAATCCATTTTTATATTGTTTTGTTACTGAGGGAAAGAGATTCACAGCCTGTTTC